GGGTACCATGTTCACTACTTGGGCAAGCAGATTATTAGAAGCCCAAACCTCAGCATCCCACAATATGCCCATGTAGCAAACCTGCACATGTACCCCCCAAATCTAAAATAAAAATTAAAAAAATATGGCATCTAATTAAATTAATATACAAGTCAACAAAAAGAATACTATGCAGCCATTAAAATGATGTAGAAGGATATTAATGGTTTTGAAAGTTGTTCACAACATCTTATGAAGTAAATAAAACAGGTTACAAAATAATCCAGCTTTTTTGAGAGAAAAAGTTAATTACATTGAACTTGAAATTATTAAATGCACCATTTTTATTCATTACTAAGAAATTTAAAAAAAATCTACCAATTAAACCATAATGAGCCATAGATTTTAGGATACATTATGATTTCAGAGAAGTTAAAATATGTATTCTGGAATTGATAAATATAGCATATTATGTATGTCCCATTTTCCCTCCATTCTGAAATAAACTTCTTTTCCCATATTTTAATATCCAGAATTTAGGGATATTTTGTGTCTTACAATCAAAGCATACATTTAATGTAGTGTTTCTGCCAGGCGCAGTAACTCACACCTGTGATCCTAGCACTTTGGGAAGCCAAAACCGGCAGATCACTTGATGCCGGGAGTTGGAGACCAGCCTGAGCAACATGGTGAAACCCTGTCTCTACTAAACATACAAAAATTAGCTGGGTGTGGTGGCGTGCACCTTCAGTCCCAGCTACTCAGAAGGCTGAGGCAGAAGAATCACTTGAGCCCAGGTGGCAGAGTTTGCAGTGAGCCGAGATCTCACCACTACACTCTAGCCTGGGTGACAGAGCAATATTTCATCTCAAAAAGTAAAAATAATAACAGTAATAATGTAGTGTTTCTTCCAGGACCCCCACCCCACCTATAACTCACCAGAATCAAGAAAATATTATATATGCATTGTATTTGCATCAGAAAACAAGGAGGATATACACCAGAATGTTAATAGCTGGGTTTTTTTTTTTTCCCCAAAATGATAAGATTGCGGAGAATTATTATTTTCTTCCTTAACAACAATAAAAAAAATCAGCATTGCGAATTCCCAGGTTGGCCCCATGCTATGTAGAAGCTAGGAGGATCACTTGGGCTAAGGTACCACAGAGCTCCCATCACTGTCCTCCTGAGAACTGGAAAACCTCAAAGTGAAGAGTTAAAGGGGCAGAGAGCAATTTTACCCACTCATGCATCACCCCCGGTATCTCAACTACCATAAAATGATGTGTCCAAAAAAGGCAACTCCTTGGTAAAGGTACTTCACTCCCTTCTAGCACCCAACCACAATGCCTAAGGGGATGGCGAATAGACTTCATTTTTAAATGCTAGTTCTCATTGATTGGTAGTAGCCCCCTGGAGGACCTGCTGGAAGGGATTCTGAGGCCAAATTGGAATTCAGGAGGAAGGTGTGCCTGATTGATTAGTCATGCCTAGCACTTAATCCAGTGCTACATAGTAGCTAGGCCTGAAAGAATTTTCCCAGCTTTATTCTCGCTTTCTTACCTTCAAGAAGAGTACCTGTTTTTCTAATCATCAAAGGTGAAGAGATCTTAACCAGACTAAGGACCATAATTTAAGGGCCTGGAATGTTACTGCTAATGCTAAACTAAGCCCATTCTAGCAAAGACACAATTCAGGTTTACAAACCAGCATTTCACAGTATGGCATTATATTTTAAAGTCAAAGAACACATATATTACTGGCTTAGTAATTACACCCCTGTGATACACACCTCATGTATCTGCTTTCCAAGAGATAGGAACAAAAATGTTCATAGCAACCATTCACAGGAGAATGGAAAAATAAATTTGGTACACAGACACACACAAAGTTTATTCACTTTATTAGTTTCACAAAACCATACAGATGAATAATAAACATTTGAGTGAAAGAAGCAAGGGACATAAAACCACATATAATATTGTACCTTTGTTTAAAAGATCAAAAACAAAACATAACTAATTATATATTGTTTAGAAATATGTGACTGTGATTAAACTATTACTTTTTTTTTTTTTTGAAACATAGTCTTGCTCTGTCACCCAGGCTGGAGTGCAGTGGCACGATCTTGGCTCATTGCAACCTCTGCCTCCTGGGTTTAAGCGATTCTCTCGCCTCAGCCTTCTGAGTAGCTGGGATTACAGGCACCTGCCATCATGCCCGGCTAATTTTTCTATTTTTGTAGAGACAGGGTTTCACCATATTGGTGAGCCTAGTCTTGAACTCCTGACTTCAGGTGATCTGCCTGCCTGGGTCTCCCAAAGTGTGGGATTACAGGCATGAGCCACCACACCTGGCCAAAACTATTATTTAAAAGGCAGTAGAATATACAACACAAAACCTAGGATAATTACCTTTGGAGCAGGCATGGGACAGGATAGAGAAGATGTAACATACTGGAATATTCTAGTTAAGTTGGTTTGGTGTTGATCTATTGCTATGCTTTGTATAATATATGTTAGAATATATACAATATAATAGATAATATATATGTTAGAATATATAATACACAGTTTGAAAGAATTAATTTTTCATTTAATGCAGTGCTCAATTAAAAATATAATCTTTCTCCACATTTCTGTGGAAGACTAGGAAAGCCTGTCTTGCCATAACATGGATTAGAATAAGCCAGTTTTATACAGTGACTTTTGTGGGTGACGAGTTCCACCTCTGCAATCAAGTTTCTCATCTACCGTGGCTGAGCCTCACCAGGAGCCTAAAATGCATAAAACTTTCCTTTAATGCCTCTTTGGACTGTCTCTGGTATAACCAAAGAAAGCATAGCTCCCTCATCTGTGCAGTGACAAGTTTGGGTAAAGCATTTTTTGAAAAAAACTATCTCTTTTAGATTTTTTTTTCAATCATTTTAAAGGTCATTTATACCATTTATCCCACTTTTATTACTACTGTAAAACAGTATATGATTTTATGTAGTATTTATCCTCAATGTACATGAAGTGTTTTTATAGTTGTTACTTCAAATGAATGACAAATTATTTATAATAACAAAAACATGGAAACAATCCAAATGGTCAGTCATCAGCAGGTAATAGAAGAACATGTAGCTCTCAAGTACTGTCTCTGAAGAGTGTATAATAGCACAGAAGACATCAAAATTATTAAATGAAAAAGCATAATGGCTTGTATAATGAGTATATTACAGCCAAATGAAACCTATGTTTTAAAACAAACCAAAAATAGATACTCAACATGTTAAGAGTGGTTATCATTGTGTGATATCTTACCTTTCTAAATTTTCTAAAATGACAATGCCTTGCTTTTAAAATGTAATGAAAGACCATTCAACTTTAATCTTCTTGAAATGGAACTGATTGGCTAGATTGACTTTGGGGAATTGCAGGCAGCAAATGGAGATGTTCTTCAGAAGGCCAGGCAGTAACTCACTGGCAGCACCAGGATTAGTGTTGACAGTCCTTGTGTTTCTGGGTTGTGTTTTCACTCTGAATTCAGCTGGTTCCCTAACTGTACTCAACCCTCCCCTGACACACACACATACACACACACACAATTAATGAAATAAGACAAGCTCCCCCTGAAAAAGTCACCTCAGCCCCATATATTCCTCGGATGGTGGTAAGCCATATTCCCCAGTTCACACCCTTTTCCCTGAAGGTCTTAGTGGGCAGGAAGACAAGAGAATGTGAATACTAATAAAGTTATCTCTGAGAAGCAGTGCCCTTTCCCAGGGTGGTCAGTGCAGCCAGCCAACCACAAAGCCTGGGTTATCAGACTCAAACCACATAGATGTCAAGCAGGTCACCCCAACCTTGATCTCAGAAAATATTGGCACTTTAATGTGATCACCATGTAAGTTTGTTTAAAATTAAGATTTATTACTAATTTAAAAGCTTGGTAGTCTAGGGTGGCCAAGGTCGTGAAGAAGAGGGAATGTACATTTAACAGAGCCTGTTTGAAGAGCCTATAAAACTGAAAACATCACATCCTATGGCCCAGCAATTCCTCTTCTAGTCCTATGGCCTAGAGAACAATCGCACATATGTACAGGTAGACACGATCGAGGATTTTCATTTTTTTATGAAAAATTAAAAACCACCAATTGTCTCTCAATAGGTGAGAGACATGGATAAATAAAATGTCATATATTTATAGGATGAAATATTTAAAATTAAGATTGGTGATTCATATAGCATATGAATCTATATGTATAGCTCTATAAAGGAAAGAGATCTTTGGAATTTAAAAGAAGTATCTATAGATTTATAGTTCCTGCAAGGATAGACATCAAAAACATGTTGTTTAGGGAAAAGAGCAAGTTCTAAAACGACATCTGAAGTATGACACCATTTATGTAAAAAAAAAGAAAGAAAGAAAAGCAAACTACAGCCATCCATTTTGATAAATGCTGATATATACATGTAATAGCACAGGAACATTCTAGAAGGAAATACAATGAAATAATAGCAAAGGTAATACCTGAGGAAAGACAGAGGGGACTGGGATTGGATGATACTTTGATTTTTCAAGGATAAGTGGATTCCTGTGTTATTCATAATTATTAATATACAAACAGTTTATTATTTTTTTAAGTCTCAGCAATTACTTTATCTGGTAATATATTTATAATTTAAAAAAAGCTAAAAATATAGGGCTTTCTGTCGGAAATTGTTTCCCACAGCACCACACCCACCTTTCCACTCCCAGCACACCCTCTCAGCCAAGTTGCCCAATGTTGGGAGAAAGTGCCCCTGAAGCCTTTGCTCACCTTCACCATCCTTCTAGGAGCCACAGCAAATCACACTGGCAACGACCCCTTGCAGAAAAATTTATGCCAGAAAAATTAGCTCTCAGAAGTGTCATTTTGTTCAAAAAAGAGCACATGAATTTTATCCCTTCCCCTGATGATTTTTGAGAGCAAAGTATTTTAGAGTTTGGCACCAGCCAAACCAACAGGAGAGAAGGCAACTCCCCACATTTCATACCTGTCAAAAACCACTGCGGAATAAGCCCGCTCAGCAAAGATGACATCTGCAGCCCAGAACTCCTTGGTGGCCTTCAGACCCCTGCCTTTGCCCTCAGCAGTGAAGACCTCCACATTCTCCATTCTCCCTATTGTCATCTCAGAGTCTGTCAGGCCAGCGCAGCAGATATTTAACACTGAGCCAAGTCTCTTGTCATTGCTATTTCAGCACCTTCAGCATCCCAAAGAGCAAGACTATAAATGGACAAGCCACCTCCCCTTCCCTGCCCGCTCTCAGCCACTGGGCCCTCACCTCCCCCTCTGCTACTTTTTCTGGAGGTGGGAATGGGACAGGCACGAGAACAAGTGAACTGGGAAGGGTTTCATTCATCACCCAGCAAAGCTAACAGAAGAGAAAATGACCATGGCTTAATATGGTTCTGGGATAGGACCTGAAAAGTTTTGAGAGGTTCCATTGCAAGCAGAAGCTCTGTATATCCTAAGTTCTGAACTGCAACAATCCTGTTCGGCTTTAGTTGGAGTAGGGAGCATTTGGTCAGGAGGGTATTTTTAGCAGCCAGATGCCTCTGTCAATCAAAAGCAGACAACTGGAGTGGTCCAAGAGAAACAAGGTGATATTTGCTGCTCTGGGACCCTTCAGCTGTCAGGCTTGCACTTTCTCAAGTGAGATGGGCCCCTCGCCCCACCCTTTTCAGTCTCTCTCCCAAGGGTGGACTGTTTGCAGGAAGCAGCAGAAGCTAAACTGTGGGCTGGGCACGGTTGGGAGGCCGAGGCGGGTGGATCACCTGAGGTCAGGAGTTCGAGACCAGCCTGACCAACATGGTGAAACCCCGTCTCTACTAATACAAAAATTAGCTGGGCGTGGTAGCAGGTGCCTGTAATCCCAGCTACTTGGGAGGCTGAGGCAGGAGAATTGCTTGAACCCAGGAGGCAGAGGTTGCAGTGAGCCGAGATTGCGCCATTGCACCCCAGCCTGGGCGACAGAGTGAGACTCCATCTCAAAAAAAAAAAAAAAAAAAAAGAAGAAGCTAAACTGAGCCCTTGGCATATACGTAATAGTACTATTTAGGCTCCAAGGGGGCATTTTTCCTCTTCAGTGTCACCTAGGTCTCCCACAGCACCCCTACTCCACAGCTGCTCTTAGCACTGCTGGTGATGCTGGTATGCTGGAGGCAGGCTGGATACAGAGAAGGCAGGCTTTAAAAATAGCAACCCCCATCTCTATCTTTCTATCAAATTTCCTTTAACATGTGTCTGCTGCCAGGAAAATACCAACGTGCTCTGTCCTTCTTCTTACTCAGAAGTGAGGACACTGGAAAGACGAGTCTAAAATCCCCATCGAACTAAATGCCACTGTTCTTGGCTATCAGGCAGCTCTCACTGAGGTTTAAAAGAAAGACACTTGCAGATCTGGAGCTCTGGCTTGACTTCCATGTAAGATTTTTAGTTCCTGGGATGCATCTACTTCCGGGGGGGGCAGTGGACGGGGGCATTTCCTGTATCTTTCTGAGTGTATGGTTTCGGAGTCAGATGAATCTGGGTTTGAATTCTGAGCCTGCTACTACCACTTGAGACGGAACCTGTGAAACAAGAGTGATAATTTCTATCTCACTGGATTGTGAGAGTTAGATAATATGTATAAAGGACATAACACAGCACGGAGCGCTTCATAAAGTACTCATTAAGTGATAGCTACTTTATTTTATTTACTCTGTCACATTGTCCTCCCTAAACTATCACGATGTACCAGAAATTTTAACATGTCTTCAACCAACTGAATCTCTGAAAATACCTTCAACTCTTGGAAGCATGTTGAAAGTTCATTGTCTGATTATATATCCTGATTTTTAGGTAGGAATACATAGCCATGAGAGCAAGAGAATGTCTCTGCAGCTTCTGATGTACGCTGAAGAGCAAAAGAACTTAAGACATGTAAAGTTAGGTGCCTCAAAAAGTAAACACTGCATGCTCCCAAGGGGAAAAACAATTCTACATAACAGAGAGTTAAAAAAAGGGAAAGAAGGCCGGGCTCAGTGGCTCACGCCTGTAATCGCAGCACTTTGGGAGGCCGAGGTGGGTGGATCACTTGAGCCCAGGGGTTGAGACTAGCTTGGGCAACATGGTGAAATCCCATCTCTACCAAAAATACAAAAAATAAACTAGGCGTGGTGGGCGCATGCCTGTAGTCCCATCTACTCAGGAGGCTGAGGTAGGAGGACCACTTGAGCCCATGAGGCAGAGGTTACAGGGAGCTATGATATATGGATCTGACCACTGGCACTCCTTGTTGTTCTGGAGGTTATTTTATCTTGTCCAGTGTTTTAAAAAAATAAAAGAAAAAAGGAAGGGAATAAAGGGAGGCAACTCTCGTCCTGGCGACGCGGCGGTTAGGCTCCTGTCCCCGCACCCCCGGTTGTTA